AGTGTCCCACAATTTAATCCAATTCTGACACCACCTGGAGTTGGCGTCAGATTCCACAAATTAAGGGCTCAGTCCCACAAGACTGTCTCTGACTTCACAGGGCTGGGGTTGTGGCTCAGTTATAGAGAGTGCTCCCCTAGCAATGTGCAAGGCCCTGGGTACGATCCTCAGCACCACATAAAAATAAATAAGTAAAATAAAGTTACTGTGTCCAACTACAACTAAAAATAAAAATAAATAATAATAAAAAAAGACTGTCTTTGACTTCAGATTGCCAATTGCAAGACTGGGCCTTCTCTATTCTTGACCAACTGGCTATAAGTAAGGTTATTCTACAAACTTTTTGTCAGGTATGATACTTTGCTTGAATGCTTCTAGCAGAACTCAGGATAACATCTGACTTACATTCCCCAGTTTATTATAAAGAATACAACTGAGGAACAGCAGATAAGGAGAGGTGCCTAAGCAAATGTATGTGAGTTGTGAGAAGCTTCTGTGCCCTCTCCACGTGCATCACAGTCCCAGCACCTCCATGTGTCTGCCTGGATCTCATTAAATCTAGTTGTTCCGAAGTTTTTACAAAGAATAATCTCTGTCTTCCTCCCCACCAGTTTGCTGGAGGTTGGAAGGTAGGGCTAAAAGTTCCAATCGTCTTATCTCTTGGTCTTTCTGGGGTAGCCAGCCCCATCCTGAGGTCTTCTAGGATCTCCACCCTAAGTCATTCATAGGCATAAACTTGGATGTGATAAAAAATGGCATCTTATGAATAACAAAAGACTCCCCTGTTACTCAGCAAATCCCAAGGGTTTTGGGAGCCTTGTGTCAGGAATTGGGGACAAAGAACAAATTTTTTTTTATTATATCATATATTTAACTTATTTTATGAGGTTGGGAAAATCTTATCACAGATATTGAATATATATAGCAAATATGTGTGTCCATATCTCAATGTGTTGAAACCTAACCTAAAACAATGGCATTAAGAGGTGGGGCCTTGGGGCTGGGGCTGTGGCTCAGTGGTAGAGCACTTGCCTCGCACATGAGAGACCTTGAGTTCAATCCTCAGCACCACATTAAAAAAAATAATAATAATAAACAAAATAAAGATATTGTGTCCATGTATAACTAAAAAAATATTTTAAAAAGGGGGGGCCCTGGGAGGTGATTAGATAATGAGAGCAGAACCCTTCCAAATGGTATTAGTGTCCTGAGAAAAATACACTCCAGAAAGCTAGCAAGTCCCTTCCACCATATGAGAACACAGTGAAAAGATGCCACCTATGAACCAGGCCTCCAGAAGTGTGAGAAATAAATTTCTGTTATTTATAAACTACACAGCCTGTGATATTTTGTTGTAGCAGCCTGAAAGGCTAACTCCATAGTAAAACAAATGAACAAATAAGCGAAACCACTAAGATGGCAACTTCACTTACATAGACACAAAAATCCTAATTTTTAAATATAAAAAATATTAATAATAGCAAAACAGATCCAGCAGAATTATAATAAGTACATTATTTTTTCAGAATAGAAACTTTTATTTTAATTGTCAAAAGAATGCAGTAAATTAAATCTATAATGATTAACATCAGGTATGCATCTCTACTTAAAACTGTTATTAGTTTCTGACAGGGCTAAATGATATCATTTCTTTAGGCACCATCTTTGAATTTTTTTTTTTTTTTTACCCTGATGTACAGTACAAGTTTACTTCTTCCTTTAGGTTTACTTCTTCCTGTGGTTGTCTAGTAATGAGAATCATGTTTACTGGTCAGATTCCTTTATAACTAAAGGCTTCTAGATTCTCAGGCTGCCTGTACTACCTTGAGACCATATTTTAATATAGATATTTTTAAGTGAATCATAGTAAAGGGGAGAGACACAACCTAGAAAGCTGAAGTGTACTGTATAAACACTCTAAAGATTTTTTTTTCCAGCACTGGTAGTCAAAAACTAGACAAGGAGGCCAAATTAAGTACCAAATCACACTCTCCCGCTGCCCTCTTTTCAGACACAAAGATCTCCCTAAACAATGAAATAAATTCACACAAATAGAGATTTTTACTTATGAGATCCCAACATCAAGTTATAGAAAGCAATTCCACTATCAAAATTATAGCTGTTAAGGAGACCTTGAGAAAAAGCAGTCTTATATTCAGTAATATGCATCTAAGTTTTCTGTCAATTTTTTTTACAAGATTAACATTAAAAAACACAACCAAATACACATATGACCCTCAAACCCCACAAAAAACAATTGGTCTTTGTTTATTCTCAGGTGACACGATATCCCACAAGTGGCAAAAGACGGGGGGCCAATGCCCCATAGTCAATTCTTCAACTATCCCATCAATAGCTCTTCCTTTCTTGAACTACCTTCTTTTTCCCAAAAGGTAATGCTGAGATCAGTCAGAAAAGCTTTCTGAGAAGACTGGCTTGGATTTCTGGGTCTGTTCCAGTCGATTCAAGATGAATTGGCTCGTATCAATGAAGCGTTCAACGCAGTTCACAAAACAGGCCTCAGACCGACTGTCCAACTTTGGCCCAGGCTTGTCCATGCATTTCTCCCAACAAAGTCCAGTCATCTGGTGCACCAGCTGCTAGAAGCGCTGCTTCTGAGTTTCCACCTCAATGAAATGCTGCAACTTTGGGTCCACTGTGTCCAAATTGGCCACCAAGGAAGAAGAAAAGGAATCCATCCCAGTGTGACCACACTTGTGACAGGAACTCTGCGGCAACTCCAATGATAAGTAAACTTTAATCGCTGAATATAAAAATTATTGACATCAGAATAATACCTATCAAAGTAATATACTCATTAATAAATTATTATTTTTCTTTCTTTTTGAGACTAAACCTATACTGGTCTTGAATTCCTGGGTTCAAGTAATCTCTGCTACAATGCTCAAGGAAAAATGTTTTTCTTTCTTTCTTTCTTTTTTTTTTTTTTTGGTGCTGGGGATTAAACCCAGGTACTCATGTATGCTAAGTAAGCACTCTCACTAAGCTATACTCCCAGACCCATGACTAAGTATTCTGAAAACAAGATAGGGTTAGATGAGACAGCTTGATTGAAGTGAAAGTGACTTCAAAAAAGATTTTAGATGAATAGTCAAGGTTTCTGTGAAGATGATATTGGACGAGATAAATGACCTGTGTCAAGTGGAGGCATGGGCTGTGTATAGTACTGTAGGAAGAATATTGCAAGTAAAGGAAGCAGTTGCTGAGGCTCTTCAATAGAATGGCATCTGGCATGATAAAAGGAACCTTAAGAAATAAAGTGTGCTAGTGAGGTGTGAATGAGGCAAGAGCAATAGGAGATGGGGTGAGTGCAATGGACAAGACTTTTATCATGTAGGATCTTGCAGACCATTTGAAGCATTTGCTTTATTTTTTTCTAAATAACATGGGAAGTCACACACTGCTGTTTGCATACTGTTGGAGGGAAGATCAGCAGCACGATATCTTAGTTAATTTGTGTTGCTATGATAAAATACCCCAGATTGGGTAATTTATAAAAAATAGAAATTTGTTGCTGACTGTTCTGAAGCTTGGGAAATCCAAGAACAAGGCACTAGCAGTTTTGTGTCTGGTGAGGGCTGCTCTCTGCTTCCAAGATGGAGCCTTTGTTGCTGCATGTTCCAGTAGGGACAAATGCTGTGTCCTCACAAGGCAAAATAGGTGGAAGGGCACAAAGGGAATGAAATAATTCTCTCAAGCCCTTTTATAAGGGTTCTAATCCCATCCACCAGAGCAGAGCCTTCATGGTCTAATCACCACCTAAAGGTCATCTCTTAATACTATTGTACTGGAAATTAAGTTTTAACATGAATTTTGGAAAATGACACAAACATTCAAAGCATAGTACACAGAGACAGATTTAGGCAAGAGATGGTGGTGGGTGGTGAAGGTGAGAAATGGATAGATTTAGGATTTATTTTAAGGTAGAATCAAGAATAGACATGGAAATGTGGCTCAGTGGGAGAGCTCTTGCCTAGCATGGGGGAGGCCCTGTGTTTGATCCCCAGCACTGATAACCAAACAAAAATAAATTGTTAATGGATTGGAAGTGAGGTATGAGGACAAAGAGAAAAATTAAGAATTATTCTCAGGTTTTTGTCTGGGAATAGTAGAAACATTTCCTGGAGTAGGGAAGACTGGGGAGGTTTATTTGGACTGCATTAAGGTTGTAATGCATATGAGGGGAGATGTCAGGTTAGCTACTGAATGTTCCTTCCTCATAGAGTTAATGAGCTGAATTTAAGAACAGCTTAAGTTCTTAAACTTAGTTTTTTTTTTGAAAAACTAAATACTAAAAAATCCAAAAAGTTACTGGCTGATTTAATAAATTAGAGGATAGCCACAAGTGCCATTCCATTAATTTGTATCCAAGATTTCATGTTTTGTTTTGAGATGAAGATCTTGCCATGTTGCCTCCTCATATTTCTGGGCTCAAGGGATCCTCCTGCCTCAGCCACCTGAGTAGCTAGGACTACAGGTATTGCCACTGCAACTAGCTTAAGATAATAATTTGAAACTGAATAGATTATAACATAGTATATAAGGTTTGCCACCACTTTTAAAGAATAAAACATGATATATTTTTATGATAAGCTTAGAACAGACAGACTGGAAAATGAACGGTGGCTACCTCAGATTTTGGCGTATAGTGTGGTTTTATTATTTTTAATTGTTATTGGTAATTTTAATGACTATTGGTCCTCAATAGTCATGTTACCTTTATAATTCGTTTTTTAAAGAAGGAAAATCCACGAAGGTCTCTTTCAGCTGGGCAGTTTGCGTCTGGGTCACCTGTCAGGTGAGGGGCTTCAAGGTGATCAGGCCAAAGATGCACCAGATGCAAAGTGGGAGAGGAAGAGTGGCGTGGGGGGCGAGGTGGGCGGTCCGAAGGGCAACGCCCCTGTGGGTCACGTGCTCGCCGGACGCCAATGGCCGCCTCTGAGCCCACCTTGAGGATGGGGCGGGGCGCCGGGCTGGCGTCACCAGGACAACGGGCGTCGCCGGCGCCGTGTGACTCCGGGCTGTGGGCGCGCTCGCGGTCGTTCGGCCATGGTGAGTCTGGGTCCCGCGTGGGCCTGGCAGCCTCGCCCTTCCCCGCCCCGGCCGGGTCCTCGCGCCGCCGCCCGCTAGGCTCGGGCGGGCGGTGCCGGGGTTGCGAAGAGGCTGGGCCGCGGCCTGCGGGAGTGCTGGGAAGGGCAGGGCAGGGCAGGGCAGGGCTGGGCGGGCCCGGGGAGGGGGAGACCTGGGGGTGCCGAGCGCTTGTCTGCCGGGGCCACCGCGATGCTGTGTTCTCTGCCGTTGGGTGTCTGGGTCACATCCCGGATCCCCACCCCGTGGCCCGCCGGCGTGACGTTATTTGGCCCGTGCGAGCCGGGGAAGCCACACAGAGAGGGTGTGGTTAAAAAAAAAAAGAGTCTATATGAATGTTATATATATTTCTATTTACATTGCAAGCTATGTACTTCTAGTCTTATTTTTATGCAGTTATATAAATGGCACATAATATGTATTTCTTTCAGATTTATCGTTCTGATAGATTTTCTAGCATGTGGAAATTTATAGTTTTGGAGAGACCCTTCTCGTTTTGTGAAAAAAAAAAAAAGGGGGGGGGACCTTGAACTGGAGGCTTTTTTTTCCCCCTGAGTGCAGCACCCTCACTAAGGGATTTAATTAATCCATAATTATCACATTGTAAACGTCTTAAGTCTTTACCTTTGCTCAATAAACTTGAGAGATCGTGGGCATACCACCTGTCTCCAGTAAGCTCTTTTGAAAGCCTAAGCTTCAGGGAATTGCCAGAGGTCGTGCCAGAGGTCTCCAAGTGGTGTAAAAGAGAGGAACTAGACCTCCTTCTTGGGGACACGCCCTTGATGTAGGATATTTAAGGGGATTGGTAATAGGAAAATGCCTAATTTTAAGAAACAGTTTTTCCCTTTTCTTTTACCATGAGTGATTAGGTGGAGATTTGCTTTTTATCTGCAAGGGTTAGTAGAAGTGCTGATAAGCTGAGATGCAGGGTACTGCCCAAGCACAGTTGGCCTTCCCTAGATAACCTTTTTATTTATTTTATTTTTTTCCATAACTAAGAGGGGTGTTAGTAAAAGAAAGTGATAGTCTGTACCTCTCTTGACTCTGGAGAAACAACTTCCAAGTGTGGCCTGTTGATAGCAGGAAAAAACATCACCCACAAATAACAGTAATGACATCTTCATTTTGTGTTTCTTTTGAATTAATGGAGCTGGCAAGAGTTTCAGAAAGTGAATTTTATAGAAATCTAAGCATTTAAAATATTGTATCAATTTACTCCTATGTGGTATGTGAGAAAATCTCATGCAGTTATAAACAAGGAGAAAGGAAGAATATCTAGGAATTGAATTTTTCCAGCTTTGTGAAGTCTCACATTCCTCCTGTTTCTATTTTCCTTTTATTTTTCCAGTCCTCCCATATGACCCACAGTCTACTTCACTCACTATTGTGGATTTTAGAGCTTTAGGTATTCTACCATAAAAATGTTCTACAGTACTTTTGTACTAGCGGTTGTTTTACTGAACTTGGAAATGCTTTGCTTTGTGTATATTTTTAAGCATGAAGAGTCTAACTCATAGAAGGGATTAAATTGATTGATAAAATGCATAGGTTTCTGTGGTAGGAAATGGTTAGTATTGGAGGGAGAGAGATGAAGAGGCTGCCTATGTAGTCCCTAAAACTGTTTGAGATTATATTTACTTCATTAAATGCTTGAATCTAAATGTGCCACTTTAACAGTTGATATAAATGATTATGCACATTAATTTTGGAAATCTACTTATTAGTGAAAATTTCATTTGTTTCTACTGCCTCAGTAATAATGACAATATTTGTGTATATTCTTTGGGTGAGATATTTTTTAAGTGCCTTATGTCTCAAACTTTAGCAGCCCTGGGAAGAAGATGCCGTTTCTCCATTTTAGAGATGAGGAAACAGACACAGAGTTAAAGTAACTTGCCAAGGTCACTCAGCTGATAATTGAGCCAGGTTTCAAAAGCAAGTGGTTTGTTTTAGAATCTGCTTATGTGATTATTGGATTGTTCTGTAATGTATAATGCATCATATGTTCTTTAATGTGCCATATATATGTTTAAGAAGTTAGTTTTCTTAGCAGGTGCAGTGGCACACGCCTGTAATCCCATCATTTCGAGAGGCTGAGGCAGGAGGATCACAAGTTGAAAGCCAACCTCAGCAACTTAGCAAGATCTTGTCTCAAAATAAAAAACAAAAAGGGCTGGGGATGTTGCTCTGTAGTTAAGCGCCTGTGGGTTTAATCCCTGGTACCAAAAAAAGAAAGTTATTTTTCTTTATTTAGACTTTAAGGTTGAACAGTTGTGAATGATTTGTATTTTGGTTTTTTGGCATTGGGCTAGATGTTGTAGAACAGAGTAGGCATGCCTAACCTTTTTCATTCCTCTCTTACAAAGTTGAAATGAAAAGAAATTAGTGAAAACATATGATTAAATCAGCATTCATACTCACGGCTGTAACAACACTTAGAGTTTCTCCTGTCAACTTCAGTTCAAGTTCAGGAATTGGCATTTATTTTTGGTGAATTATAAAACAGTGTTTTACATGAAACCTTTCAGATGTGGGGAATGAAACAGTGCTTAAAATTTGAAGCACTGCCTAGCATGCAAGAGGCCATGGGCCCAATCCCCAACATTGTGCCCATTATAAATAAGTAATAATATTTTCTGAGATTTTTCCTAACAATTTTTAGATTTTAGTTTTATCTTCTGTAATTGTTACAAACAGGAGTCAAGTTGTTGCTTACATTTTAATTCACTTGGAACAAAATATATATTGGAACATATCCCTTGTTACCATTAAGGTTTTGCTATTGTTTAATATTTGTTAAGGCATGTCTATTTTTAGAAATATATAACACATTTTAATTCCTTCTACTTAGACTTTTCTCCTATTTCAGCATTTTCCTTTCTATATTTATAGTAAGGACTAGTCAGAGGTGTTGAGGGAAGACTTCACAATAAAATATTTAATTGTAGTTTTTCACATTAAAGTGATATTTTATTTCTTTCTGTGCTGGGGATGCAACCCAGGACCCCATGCACGTGAGGTGATCCTCTACCACTAAGCTATATTCCCAAGCCCCTAAAGTTATTTTCTTAATTCAGGATTTACAAACATTTTGGTCTCTGCTATCACATGGTATAGTTAAAAGAACATATATGAGAACATTAATAAGATGAGATCTTATTAATAGATCACAAAAAGCCAGATGAATCTATATGTTAATTTTCCTCTAGGGTGGCTATGAGAGGTGGGGTGGAGCAGGGAAGTCTAGGTAAGCAGAAGAGGACACTTGGGAAAGATTTTGTGGACCCAGAATCAAGGTTCAAACCCAAGCTTCCCAGTTCTGTCCTATAACTATATTTCCATTGATTTTTCCCCTGCTATCTGGTTTTTTTTTTTTATCCAATAACTATTTATTGTGTGCTACTGTGTGTTAGTTTCAGTTCTGGGCAGTGGGTATCCAGCAGAGGATGAACAGAAGGCTATGTTCTCATTGAGCTTACATTCTGATTACAGGAAGACAGATAATAAACAATTTGATAAGGTGGTGAAAGTGCTTTGGAGAAAAATAAAGCTAGGTAAGAGAGAAAGGGAACTAGGGGAGTGAGGGGAGGGAGGAACTGTCTTTAATGTAGAGTGGAAAAGAGGCCTGATAAGGTGATACTCAGCAGAGGATATGTCATGGGACTGCCTGGCAAAAGAACAAGTTGGAAGAGGACACAAGTCATATGTCCTGAGGCAAGAATGTGGCTTGCAGTTAAAGAAAAGTCAGCTAAACTTATTGATTGCATGTGGGCTGGAATGACAGTTAAGAATCCTGAGGAGTGTCAGCTACTGATCAAAGCTGTACTTACTTGCCAACTCTTTCCCATGGGCCTTTAGTGAGTAAATGGGTGTAGGAGTTTGGAGACAGGGAGCAGAGAAAGAGCATAGAATGATCCCCCTGAGGTGGATGGTGCCTGCTGAAGGATGAAGGCAGGACTGGAAAATGGTTAAAAATCCCTTTGAGGCACTAGAGACCTTTACAAAGTATAAGGCTGGGGCTGCCAGGCATAACAAGCTGAGGGCATAATAAGAGAACTGATAAAATTTCCTCTATGGCTATTCAGGTTTTTATTGTGGACAAGGCAGTAGCCTTTCAGAAGGCAAAGTCAGGGTAAGAGGCAGAGATCTCCCCAAGACACATAAAACAGATGGTGCTACTGGGGAGCAAAGACAACTCCTCAGTTGGTAGCAAGAATGTGGAGGGAGAGAGGAAGATGGGAGGAATGGGGTGTAGGTCTCTCACAATTCAGAGAGCTAGCAGTTATATGGTAAAGCTCAAAACTGTGGTTTTGCTGGGCGTGGTGGCTCATGCCTATAATTCTATCAGCTCAGGAGGCTGAGGCAAGAGGATCCCTAGTTTGAAGCCAGCCTCAGCAAAAGCAAGGCACTAAGCAACTCAGTGAGACTCTGTCTCTAAATAAAATACAAAATAGGGCTGGGGATGTGGCTCAGTGGTTGAGTGGCCTTGAGTTTAATCCCCAATACAAAAACAAACAAAACCCCCAAAACTGTGATTTCATCAGTGCTCAGGATTCCAACTTCTCCTGAAGGTAATTCTGATTCCATCCTACAATCATTTTAGGCTATTCATGAGTTCAGTCTAACTAACATAGCAACATTTCTCAACCCAGCTCAAGTACATCGTCCTCTACCTTCATTCCCCTGGCAACTACTGAAGGTTGAAAAAGGAACTGCTTTTACAGAGATAATTTGAAGAAGGAGCTATTTTTTATGGAAGCAAATTACTATTCTTTTACATAACCATACTCTAAATTGAGACATACAAAGAAACAAAAATATGACCCCTAGTCAGGCAAGAAAAAAGATAACAGAAAGTCAGTGATGGGCCAGATGTTGAACAACATGGGTAAACAGAGAATTTCAGCAAAAGATGGAATGAACCAAGTGAAAAAGCTAGAAATGAAAAATTCTTTGATGAGCTT